AGGTTGTTAATTATCGTCTCGGTAGCTGATTTGTAAACGCTTTTCTATTACCCCTTTTGTTGGGTGATTTCTTTTTATAAAATTCCGATTTTTTTGTTACACATTTCAGTCCTTTTTGCCTTATATTTTAGGGTGTTACAATAATGGTCGGGGATTTTAGGTAAAGGTGTAGATTGCTCATTCGTGTAAGCTATCTAGAATCTAGAAATGCTGGAAGGCACCATATGGTGGGGGGGGCAAGGGCGTCGCACCCCTTGCAGGGTCTAAGAGGAAGCCTCCTGTTGGAGACTAACAGTTTTAGTTGAGGTGGTGTACATAGCTATTTTTAGCGTCTCTATAACACTAATGATACTACATCAGAGGATTATCAGTTGTTGATGTACCCACTAATGGGTTCGGTTGATAGATATCAACTTATGGTGTATCCACTAATGGGTTATCGGTTGATGGTGTGCTTCATTGGTAGTTATTGGTTGATATATATCAGTTGGCGTGACCAATTCATAATATCTCTCTTTTGAATTTCGTAATCGTCTAGTTATTTTCAACAATCATTTTTATTTCATGTGGTATTCATTCTTGACTTTAATGTACAAAAAGTTACAGTTTTTCTAGATCTACAAGTTACAATTTCTGCCAAAATCTGGACTAGATTTGAGATTATCTTCTAGTAAGTTTCGTGATACCAAAACAAATTTGGGTTGAAGTATTACTTAAGGAAAACGAGTTCTCACATGATCTCAATTTTTATCGAAACTATTAACACTGTATACTCACTACACCTGATTCTCCAACATCAGTTCTATTGAGTATTTTGTCTTGTTAGTATGGTTTAACATTTTGTAGTTAAACATGTTTATCAGTTGGTTACGAGTTAGTTTTATAAAATTCATATAGGCCAGCTTATAAGTTAGCTAGATGTTGTATAATGTAGTAGATAATATTAATTTCCAAAACAACCTTCAAACTTGGAAATTATCGTCTACAAAATTCGTAAAATAGGGAACTATGGAAAATGAAAGATTTTGTATACATTATTGATTTGTACATATTGTTTTAACATCATGTATTTTTGACAAATTAAGAGTTTTTAAATGGTAAACCCTAAATGCTTTATAATGTCGTATAAATACTAGAAATATATTAAAAGTATACTCCCGCAATGTATCACGATTCGAAGATTGAGAACCTGAACCT